TCATCTTCTTCCATCATTTCGACATCTGAATCTGTGGTTCTTCCTTCCATGAGTGTTGAAGTTTCAGGGTTTTCTCGATTCTTTCCATTCTCTGCCGCTGTGTATACTGAGGTGAATAGTCTTTCGTCCTGGGAAGTCATGGTTTCTTCAATCTGTTCGCTCCAGAGGTTGCTGTTGGGAGCTTGTTTTGTAGGAGGGGTCGTGGTTGCAGTGGTGGTTTGTTGGGTATTTTGAAGTTTCTCCGTAGTTGGTGTACTTGTTGAGGTTGTTGCTGTGTTGTATTGAGTCTGGGTTTCTTTGCCTGTGTTGGTGAAGTTTCTTTTCTGATAGGGTCGGCTTACCCGTGGACATACAATTTTCGTTGTAGTTAGGCCTAAAGTTGGAGTTTGTGCTCCTAGTTGTTCTGTTCATGTTGTTCGCTTTTTCCAATTCTACTGCGCCACAGGTGAACGGGAAAGAGTGTGTGTTATTATTTTTTGATTTACAATAATTTATTGTGATCAATAAGATTATTAAGATTATTAAGATATCTTGTATCAATCCAATCTTTATTCTGATTAACTGTGAAATCAATTCTATTTATTTTTATTTTATCAGAATACTGATAAGATACTGATTATCTTACAATATCTATAAACTGGCTTAATTTGATAAAGGTTAATTATAGATAATATCATATAGCAATAGATTCTTCTATTTCAGTTATTTGATAAACTAACAAGATTATACTCAATGACATTTTATTATTAATTAATAGAGTTCTAAAATTTATTGTAATACAATATTTTTTACTTGGTTCTCCTATGTTATTGAACTTTGGATCTTGTGATTATAATCTAGAAGTAGCAATATTATACTATAGATTTATAGATTTAGTAATAAAAAATATATATCAATTAAATTTTTTTAATTAAATATAGTAATTGAAAGATATTTATTAATATAATATAATTTAATTTATATTATGTAATATAAGAATTTAAAATTTATTACAAGTTAATTAGTTATTATATATAATTAAAAAATATTGTTCAAAGTAAGTTTAAACAAGTTATTTCTAAAAATAAAGATTTTTAACAAATAATAAGTATCTTTAGATAATAATAAAAATAAATTATAATAAAAACAATCAAGTTTTTCAAATGATCAAAAAAATAAAAAAATACTCAAATTAGACAAATTATATTAAAAAGAGAATTATAATAAATCTTTAAAGAAAATCAAATAAAATTTTTTATTTCTTTTATTATAATATATTTATATATTTTTAAATATTTTTATTTTTATTTTTTTTTAATTCACTTCTTATATAATTCTATATATTTAGTGGATTGATAGAATAATTAGTAATATAAACTATTAGTAGTGATATATAGTTTAAAAAGTTTTTATTAAAAGTCTATTATAGAGCAACAAATTCTTTTCAAGATTAAATTTATAAGTTTTTTATATTCATAATGAGTTAGTTGTATTTTTATATAAAGTTTAACAGTAATATATACCATACTGCTCGAATAAATATATACTTTATATTTTTTTATTAATGAACTTCCAATATACCTGACTAGGTATAGGTTATTCTCAAAAAAAAAAAATATTTATACTATTAATTTGTTAAATTTTTTTATTTTTTGATGAATATTGTATAAGTGGCTTTATGCTAAATAAATATTTTTAATTAGTGTGAATAAACAAAAGCTTAATTCTTAAAATCAATAATATTTAATGTTTATACAAACATTTTTAAAAGAACAAAATAATAGAGTAAGTAACAAATATTTCAATAATTAGATATTTGATTTTTATTTATTTGTTTGTTTGTTTATTTTTATAATTCATAAGCCATAAAAGTTTTCAAGAATTTAATCACATAATTTTAAGAATATAAGGAATTCAAATTCGAATTTAAAATCTCTGCTTATTAATAATTTTAGTTACTTATAAATATATTATTTTTATTATTATATAATTTCAATAAGAAATGAATTTCATTTTAATTGTTTTTCGAATTTCAATATGCATAAATAAATCAATATAATTATAAATAGTTATGACGATATAATCGTTATCCAACGACCAGAACATACAGTATTTCAAATAATATACTTTCAATGCAAACGTTAAAATTATGATTAAATATGATAAAGTGACGGACGCAAGTTACAAGAGAATTGAATCTATGGGAAAGTGTCTACTATATCTAGCAACATTCTATGTAATAAAAATTATTTTTATGTGTATAAAGTGTCAGTTGAGAAACCTTCATCATCAAAATCCTTCGCCAAAAATGTCAAAACTGTTAAATAAATTTCATGGCTGAATAGAAGAATCGCGGTCTGTTTTCGCGTTGTATTTTGTAAAAGCTATAGGATAGATTTAAAATTGGCACGCAAATATTTATTATAAGCTAACTCTTAAAAATATGCGAATACTTATTTATCATTTACGGATCATGAGATTAATCAATCACTAAATGATCAAGAAAAAGTTTATTATAACATCCGTCTATTGATAATGAAAAAGAGAAATATTTGGCTTTCAAAAAGTTAAATACTTTCATACGGTAATTGGTGTTAGTTCTTTTTACTAAACGTAAAGAATTAAAGTACATCATTTTATGTTATTTCATAAAAAAAAATAATTCATTTAATTTATTTGAATAATGAAAAATGAATAATTTAAAATATTATGTGTACCGTATATGAATAAAAATTTAAAATTTAGAATTCCTCAGACATAAGTAAGAAATATGACCTTTTGTGTTTCTTTCACCAAGTGATGTTATCACGGGAAATTGGGGGGTAACGTTAACGAATACTGGTGAACAACACAAACGGTTTTCATCATACAAAAGGCTCACAAATATTTTATCTCCTTCTCTTGCGGGAGAATTCCATTCTTTACCCTTGTAAATGTTCAAATCTGCATTCCACGCATCCCATTCCGTTGCTATGGGCTCGATTAATCCATCAGAACACTCGGTGATGACGCTCCAATGAATTTGTAGAGTCGGAATATCTTTCTGTTTTTATACATAAAAATCAAAACTTCATTACTGTCGCTTATAAATAGAAAGACCATTGAACACCTACCTTAGCAATTTCTTTTCCTGTTTTCTTTATTACATTTAATAGATAGATATCAATTATTAATCTCATCACCTTTTTTTAAAAAAATGAAATCAATATGAATATAAGTACTTACCAAGTCATACACTTCAACATAGGGTTTCCAACTTCCATCCGTCGTTCTGCGAAAATGAAGGCTGGCAACTGCGGTGGATTGATTATGAATGTATACACCGTCATCATCATAATTAAAAGCGCAAGTGCCTATAATGCAATACTTTTTTCCGTGAAGAGAGTTAAAAATTTTTTGTGAAGAACTTTGCAAGAGACTTTGATTGGTATTCTCTTGGGTAAAGCTATCGGTAAAGCTGTTCAACTTCATTTTTAAAGGTAACGATTTCTGCTTGAAATCAGTATAAAATCCGGTGATCATCCACGAAACTTTTAACTTTAGACTGGTGATCTTTTTTTTTCCGGTAGTTAGGTTTCGTATCGATGATTTTAAATTCTTTTTAGGTGTTTTCTGGACCCAATGTATCAATAAATTTGGATTTTGCGCGCCATAATAATTCACTCTTACGGAAAAAATTTTCTCCATTTTTTCCATGTTCAAAATTGTTGCAAAAATTTGGCATTGCGGTAGTTTCTTAAGGATCTGAATGTCGGTAATAATTTGACGAATTATTGGTTTTTTGATATCTTCGTTCTCTATTTCTACATCGATGACTCCAGAATCAAGAACCTTTTGTCCGAAGACTGCCAATATTCGTGACTTTAATTCATCATCCAAAAGCTCATAAACAGATATTATACCACCCAAGTAAATATGACCCCAGGTATCACATGTTTTCATTGTTTCGGCCCATTCCATTTGTGCCCCAATGCCTTCCACATCTAAAGTTAACTTTGACTTATCTCCACCGATGATCACGATGTCTTCTCTACTTAATAGGCTGGAAGATGATTTACTTCTTTCGGCATTTATTGATGCTGAAAAGCCTTGTAATTTTGCTTCAGACTTTAGTAACCGTGAACTGCTTGATGTTTCATCATTAGAATCGATTTGATATTGGATTATTCCACCGAACTCAATTCCATTGGAACTGTAATTATAATAAAGTTTAATTGAATATTTCATAAACGATAAATTATTTAAATTATTTCATACTTACCAAATCTTCCAAATTCTTTGAATAACTCCTCGAGCGCTTTCAAACGCAATCCATCATTTTCTTTTGACAGTGCCCCTTCGATAGCCTTGACAAATTCTTCTGTTGGCTCTATTTCATCTTTCTTTATAATCAGTGAACTCTTGAGGCACTTTATAATATGGTATGTGGTTGACCTAGAAATATGCTGATGTTTGGAGTATTCAAAACTCCCGCTAAACCCGACCGATAAAGGCGCCCAGGGCATGGGAACTGACACGTCAGCTGATGACATAAAATTCTTTGTGCACAGTTCGTCAATTTCATTTTTACATTTTACTTCTGTTACCGTTATTTTATTATTATCAACCAATTGTAGCCTGGCCGTCATTCCACAATTATTTTTAATCTTGAATACTTCCTGCGCTGCAGGTCTAACGTCTCCATCGGTGCAAATATAGCGACCCTTACACAGATTAAACCTGTGGGAAAACTCTGGCCAACTTGGTTTCGTTTGATCCTTTAAGATGCAAATGTATCTCTCTTTGCTAAGTATATCGGATACTTTGATATTATTTTCATCTTTGCGCGAAATTTGTGTCGTTTTGTTACTTCTTAGAAATGACATATTTTCGCCCATGTACACACCTTCAAAATCTTCGAGAATCTCGCGGACTTCTTTAAGACTCATCTCCTCTGAAATTTTCTCAAAAGAATATTCTGTCGGATTTCCTTCCAATTCAATGTAAATTGCGAATCCATTAATTTCATTAATTTGCGGGAGAATGTTTTCTCTATTTCCTCCATAAATATAATTATTAATGCGATCAAGAATACCAGCCATTTTTATTCTTTTATTATTGGTAACTCACATTTTATTGCTTATAAGAATTGTACGTGCCGTGTTATGTTTCACGAATTAGTGTTACCGTTTACATAAAATGGAAGTACGTACGCATAGGAAATACGGTAACATAAAAAATGTCTTCTCTAGTGGAGTGGCTCGAGAACGCTAGGAACACTAATGATATAAATTTAGTAAACTTTATTGAATTTAACGAACTTAAACGTGCCCCTCGTAGGATCAAGTTGTCAAGACCTAATGTTTTCATGAAACGTATGCCAGAGGTGGAAATTGTTTTATATGAATTGAACGAATATTATGATGTTATGGTCGAAGAAGAGATAAAATTGTTCTCGTCAATGGTAATACTCTTCATGTGATCTCGACCCATCACCGAAATAACATTATCTTACTGACTTTTGTCATAGGGATTTGAACATTCGAATATTCTTCGTGTCTTCGGAATTACTATAAGTAAATACAGTAAATTATTAATGATAAAATCGATTCATCATTAACCTAATGAACTCATTTTTCCTCCCTTAAACAGGTCCTGGTATAGAAAATTATTATTTGCTCGTTGAGTCTGCAGACCAAGGGGATCTTGATGAATACCTGGAAAAAATGAATTTAGGTTGGAACGAAAAAATTGATTTGGCAATCGGTTTGGTAAATGCCCTAGAGTTTTTGCACAATAATAATATTGTTCACGCATATTTGGTACGTGTATTTTATAGTGAAACTACATGAACCATATAACAATACCTTTACCTGTATTTTCTTCATTGTAGAATCCTAAAAATATTCTTTTCAAACAAGGCATTCTAAAGCTTACAAATTTTGGAAAACTAGATATATTTAAGATGGATGCTTTTGAAAATATTCCTTATATATCGCCCGAGGAATTAAAGAAAATTGACTTTAATAATGGCGATGATCGATGTACCTCTGATTTTTCTGCCAATATCTATAGTCTTGGTGTTCTGCTTTGTCAAATTTCAATAAATGAACGTCCTTTTAAAAAAAGTTCATTTGAAAATTTAATTACCTTTATTTGCGAGGGAGGAAGGGAGCCACCGATTGTTGGGACCCCATGGGAGTATTTCGAAATTTATCGAGATTGCTGGCATTCTGACAAAAGTATACATTAATAAGATAAATTGTACGTACGTATATATGGTGACGTAATTCTAAGCACAAAATTATTATCACACCATTAGATAAACGGCCATCGTGTGTGGAAGTTTCAAAGGCTATTTCCAGCATGTCTCTAGAGCCCGTTATTGAGGAAAACGATCTAAAAAGCTTGTCACGAGATGAAGGAAAGGAAATTTTAAAAGCAACTTTCGAAACCAATGCTGACCTCCAAATTTCTAAAATCAATGTTAAAATACTCGAGCCTGACATCGACGGGGCAACCTTATATGAACCAAGCTTGATGGAACCTGCGCCGGGTTCTAAGGAGATAGATGATAAAGAAATAACAAAGCTCTTTTTACAACAGTGGAATTTGCATAAGGGATTATGTGTGAAAGGCGATTCTTTGACTCAGGGAAAACAAATACTCACTGAAGATGGTAAGATCTCCCACGCGGAAGCTTCAGAGAAAGTCAGTTTTTATCAATGCGATATTGATACACCCTTTAGAGAATTAAAAAAATCTGGTATTTCTTCAATGATGAATAAGGATCTATATGAGATCAATATTCGAATGCATATTCCGCTTCTCGAAATATCATATTCGGGATCAAATATTATGGAAGACTTTATAAAAATTCTCAAAAGGGCATTAGAGAAATCAGATGTCGATGAGGCTCGTAAGTCCGTTCGAGACATTTTCGATGAATATGGTGATTATATTGCAAAAAATGTGATTGTTGGTGGCGCTCTCTCAATCAAAATAAACAACATCAGAAACAGTCAGACGACTCTAAGTAACCTAGATATTTTAAGAACTCATTTTTATTGGGTCAAAGAACATCTTCAATATGGAAAACCTAATGTGTTTGACCAAGTGTCGCTTAATCACATTTCTGAATTAGTAGACTCAAATGATAGGGCGGAAATCATTTCAACTGGACAAGAATTGACACGATGGATGAAAGATTTTTATGAACACAAAAAATCATATATCATTTCATATAAGGAAATAGATACTACATTTTCTTTGTTAGAAAACGATATCAAGCAGCAAATAATCACACTCTTTGGGATTCAACCTGAGATCCCTCATATAGGTATCATTATCCCGCACGTACTTAATGCCGGCGAGTATGAAAATATCGAACAGTGGACAGGATATTCTTATTTTAATAATCTTAGTCATTGGGTGGACGAGCTTTTATTATGCCATGGTTTAAAAATTGAACTAATGAAAATAGGATTTGGTTCGGATAAAATTGTTGAATTTAGAAAATTACCAAAATTCGAATTGTTGAATAACAAATATATGTCTCTAAAAAAATTATCCACAAAGAAGGAGGAATTCTTAATCACTAACTGCATTAAGGTGGGCAGTTATGATCTAGAAAAGTATCCCTTCTTAGATAAAAAAACACCCAATGGAATCTTTCAACCCTCATTTGATGAGACAACTTTTGTTAGCGAAATTTATTGCAAGATAGTCACGGAAAAAGTAAAATTAACTTTGAGGGATGTTAAACCTTCAGAACTTCTTTTGGATTCCGTTGATAAAGCTCTTCTAAGTAATTATCCTTACATGGAATTAAAAAAGGTTTTTGACGAATTTGGACACTTCTTACCTCAATCTATAATTCTCGGCGGAGCATTCTCACGACAATGTATTTATGATGAGGTTGAAAAGGAATTTTCGGATGATGCTAAAAAGGAATTTCCAGACGAAGTTATCAAGTTTGATGAAAAGGAAATTATTATGCAGACACTTTCTGACTGGGGAGTGAAGTTCAAAAATTTGGATACGTCATTCTTTCTAACTTCAAAAGGCGAAGCCGTAAGAAAAGAAGAGATATACTCTTGGATGCAAAAATTTGACTACTCCGAAGAATACGCTGATAATGAGTTTAGTGATTATTTCCAAGAGTACACAGATAGTGAGATTAATGATCATTCCAAAAAATATGTCAAGATCATAACAGTAGAGGATTTGATTCCTTTATATAAAATTTTACCCGAAAAAATGCGAAACGCGATTGATAAAATAATGGAAGATAAGCAACATATTGTAATGACCGGTACAACGCCGATTTCCAACGAGAATAAAACACAAATCAATATCAAATTTGTTCAACCTCTCCATGATTGCGATTACGAAATTTTTGGGAACCTAGTTTCTCAGGATGGCAGTTTGATCATAAATGATGAGGTGATGATCCGATTTGACTTGAAAAATCAGTTTTGCTGCGTGGCATTCATTCACAAGTTGGTTTCAAAAAGGTGAAAGTGACTTCTCATTAAAAAAAAATAAGTGTCAATTGTTCTTAATCAGCTAATGGTTTTATGGCATATGCAGTCTTCCCACAGGGTCACGAATCAATTGGATTGTTCTCGCAAAAGGACATGGATATTTTAACAGGCACACTAGAGATATAAAGTTTATTCGTGGGGAGATACAGTTGTCACTTTCGGAGAAACCAAATGAAGTCGACATTCCAATAGATAGTGATCTTTCATGTAAAAGAATTCTTACGATCAATTTTGATTCAAAATACTTAGAAGAAGATGAAATTATTCTTTCAAAAGTAAAAGATCATTCGTCAAAAAATATGAAAATAGAAGTATTAAAAAGAAAATCAGAAGGATCTGAAGAATTTTCGTGCGATGTCACTATGAGGTGGTGCATTATCGATTCGGTCTACGCCCAAAAGGATATGACTACTGAAGGAGATTGATTTTGGAAATTTTTTGGAAGAAATATTGAGCTAAAATTAGAAAAAGGTATGTAATTAACTGTCAATTAATGCATGTTCGGAAGAATGTAAAGCATAATTTACCTCGTTAATACATTGATATAGGTAATTATGATGCTTCTGCTGCAACTCAAAAGAAAATTTTCAATGAAGCAACAGTAGTCGAAAACGCCGTTCAACCATTCATTCCATTATTTAATACTGTCACAAGAACAGTTGTAGATTTAATAACTATATATGAAAACGCAAAATGTAATCATAAAATCTGTGCGGCCTTAATTGATCGTGTAGAGATTGTTCAACAAGTGGTTAGATCTTTACAACGTAGAAAACGAGAGAATGAAAAAAATTTTCGCGATCAGAATTATTACGATGCATGGGTTAGGTTTAGCTATGTATCGGATAATATCAGAAAATTCGCCAAAGAAGTGACACAACAATCGATTTTACAAAAGTACGTGACTGCCAAGTCCGTCAAGCAGGCCTTTGAAAAAAATATCCAGGACTTTGAAGAAGTCTGTGATGATTTGAACTTATCAATGGCAATTTATTCCATGGAAGAAAGAGAACAAGAGGAATATGCAATCAGGGAAGATATTGATATTATAGACAAGGTTTGTATCATATATTTCTTATGCATTATTGAAAGATTATCTCCCAACGATTCTGAATATGATAGATCTCATCTCTTGATGTCACTAAAATAGTCAATTGGAGAACTTAAAGGCGACATGAAAAGTGTAATCAAAGAACTAAGTATTTTATCCTCTAATATGGAGAAATTGTCAACACAGACAAGAAAATCAAGGACTGGTATTGATGTTGGTTCTACGAACTCTACGATTGATTCTGCAGTTGACTTGTATCGGGTTCTACGTATCGAATATTCTGATCTTAAAGAACCAAAAGATATGAAGGATAACGTGAGAGGTGATCATAGTAATATTGTTAAAAAAATTTGGCGCGGTCTAGAAGTTGCTTGCAAAAGGATTCATCGTATTTGGAATATGGAGACGCCTTTACATAAGAAAACTCAAAACGCATTGGCTATACTCACATTATTGGGGAAATGCAATTATATTATTTATTTCCATGGTCTTTCTAGGATAGGCAGTCACGATGTCATGGTTTTCGAATGGGCAAAAGAGGGAAATCTGAAATCTTTTTATGAAAACTATTCCCTTGATTGGAATATGAAATTAAAACTCATTTGCGATATAATCAGCGGTCTTTATTTTATACATTGCTGTAATATTCTTCATTACGACGTTCGTTGCGAAAATGTCTTGGTTTGTTAAACTTTTTTTTTGTACACAAAATTACCGTCCCAAACGTCTTTTAAAAAATTTTTTATAGATTACCGAAGACAAAGTGGCTAAGATCTCCAATTTTGAATTAGCTCGCATTGATGAATATGAGGAATATGAGGAATTTCCTTTAAGAAATTCAAATTGTTACGTTCGTTGGTTAGCACCTGAAAGAATGAACGGAAAACGCTACACTCACCGGTGTGAAATGTTTAGGTATTTGATTATTAATGTTTATCTATGCTTATAAAGATTAGTTGGCTTACCTTTTTTATAATAATAATAGCTTCGGGATGCTTCTATGGGAGCTTTGCAATGAAAGAATTCCATATAAAGATATGGATCTAAAACAAACGGTGGAACATGTTAAAGCTAAGAAAAGAGAGACAATGTTTCTTTCTACAAACCCAATCCATAAAGGACTTTCGAACATTATTAAGCAAGGTAATAACTATAAAAAATGCCATACGTTAAATTGATAGTAACCTAATTTTTTTTATAAGCCTGGGAAGATGAGCCTTTTTCACGTCCATCGTTTGTATATGTCCACAATAAACTTAAAGAATTGTACGAAAAACATGTACCCACGGACGCTTCACCACAAATTCTTTGTAAAAAACCTACAAATTGCGGTGAAATATCTAGCATTAGTTTGGATATACCAGAGATGCCTGAAGACTCTGATAGTTTGTGCGAAAACTTACCATCAATAAATACCCTGAAATCATTTGAAGAAGGAGTCCGAGCCCACAAAGAAAAGGACTATAAAGTTGCGTGGGAATGTTTTGACGGACACGCAAGATTAGGTCACAGATTTGCAAAATATTGGAAAGGATATTATCTGATGTCAGGATATTATGTCGAAAAAGACTTGAAGGAAGCTTTGAAATACTTTCTGATGTCTGCAGATGAAGGTGTTCCTGATGCACAACTTCGCTACGCATTCTTATTACTTGAACGACAGGAAAATTGTGATAAAGATAAAGTATTAGACTACATTCAACGAGCAGCCGAAGCTGGAAATGCGACTGCTTTATATAATCTTGGTGACATTTATTTTCATGGAAAGTTGGGGGTACAGAGAGACGCGGAAAGGGGAATAGAATATTTTAAATTGGCTGCATTGCAGAATCATCGGAAAGCAATAGAAAATTTAGCTAGGGTGGGTTGGTTGCACACTCTTAATTGATTACTCTGTAGGGGAAGACGCTGCAAAAGCTAATAATCTATTTAAACAAGCTTAACTAATAATCAACTGTCAATTTCACTTCATCATTTACACGGTAAAAAGTTCAAGCATTAATGGTTAACATTATTGATAATAAACTTTGAAAAGCACATGCAAAGAAATTTTAAAAAACTAGACGATAATAGATATTGGGTGATAACATGCATAAATTTTGCAATCTTTGGTGTATTTATAAAGTATTAAGTTAAAAGTAATATAAAAAACATTTTTTTAATCATATTTATTTTATATTTAAAAATAATAAATTAATAATTAAAGTTAAAATTTTTTAATATTATTATAAATTAAAATATTTGATTTATAATAATAATTTTTCAATGAATTTATTTTAAATAATATATAATAGTGACAAAAAAGTTTATTTAATTTATTTCTTATTCTATATAAAATTTTATAAATTATCAAAAGGACCTTAAATTTTATTTTAGTTTATTTTATTTTTTTAATTAATTAAACTAATATTAGATAAGCTTTTATTGAATAATTAAAATGTTAAGCAATTATATAGATAAAATATCTTATACCCTTTATATATTTTTACCTATAGGTAAATTAATAGTAATTTATTGTATTTCTTTTAAACAAATCTAATAATTACTTAATAAGTAAACTTTAATAAGAATAAATGGTTTAATATATAATTATAAACAATAAGTTAAGGTAAAATTAATATTAAATTTATAAATTTTTATTTCTTTAAACTCTTTTCAATATATATAATAAAATTGTTTAATATTCCAATTATTTTTATATTTTTTATATATATCTTAAAAAACATATTATATTATTTGTCGCAATTATAATATCTACTTGATTTCTATCAACTAACTTTTTTTAGATGTATTAAATTAAAATATCTTATACTAAAAAAAATAATTTTAAAATTAACTTAATATATTTATAAGTCATAAATTAAAAGTTTCTTTATATAAATTTTACAATAGTATAATCATAATTTTATTTTTTAATTTATATAAAATTAAAAGTTATATTTTATTATATTACATCTTAATTAAATAAAGATATTGATAATAAATAAAAATAACTTTTATAAATTTTTAAATAAATCTAATTAAAAATATTTATAATTTTTATATAATACTTAACTTAGAAATTATAATTTGTAATTCATATATATTAATATAATATTATAAATTAATAAAGCAATAACTTTAAATTTATAAAAAAATTATATGAATATATATTCAATTATTAAAAATTTTTTTAAATTTAAAATTATTATTTAAAAAATATATTTATCTTAGAAAATTTTTTAAATAAAAAACAGGTCAAAATTATTATTATTATTTTTTTTTAAATGCTGGCTCAGCCTTGCTTTATTTGAATTTAGTAGAAAATTACATATATTTATGTTATAGCTACTTTTGTTTACCAAATAAAGCTCGATAAGAGATTTAACCTATCTCATGGCTTGTTGCCACCCTATAAGGGGAACTAACCTGCCAAGGCTAAACTAGTGCTAAATAAAATTTCTAGTAAATGATAGAAAGTTGTGATCGATTGGACACTTCTATGGATATATTGATTAACTAGATTAATAAATTAATTTTTATGTGTCTCTTTCTTTCCTCGATCTATCAATCTAGGTGGATAGAGCTATATTTGTGCAGTTTTTCTATGGCTCTTGTGATGTCTTTTTATTTTTTCCATATTTGATAAGCTTCATATCTGTTTTGCCATATTTGTTATAAATAGTGTATGATTTTCAGTGAATTTCTGGATATATATATTCTTTATATTTTGATTGGAAATAAGTTTGCTTAGGATTTTAGTCATTTCTTTTAAGATGTCTCCTCAAATGACAATCTCTAAATATCACTTGTAGTCTAATGCAGTATTGTTTGAGTACTATTTGCGAACTTCTTTGGTTCTGTAATATTCACTAAATTTGAGAATTGTATTTGTTATAGTATTGATGATAAAGTTGCCTGTAGTATGTTTGAGTGTCTGGCAAATAAAGGAGTATACATTAGATTCTTTCTGACCATATTTAATACATTTGTTATCTTTATACAGTTTGAGGAGTCTATGATGTTGTTTCACTTTTGTAGAAAGTTCTTCATTCTATAGTTGTAATCTAAATCTTCTTTGATATTAATCTTGCCAGCAGATAAAGTGATTGCCAATTTTTGTGGGCTGTAGTTTGTTTGCTATTGTGGGTCAGTGAATTTCCTTTATGATATAATTATCAAATTTGATTCTGGTACAATTTAAAAGTCTACATTTTGTAAGATGAACTGCATTTGTGATACGTTGGATTATTAGTTTGATAGGAATATCTGTGGCTTTTTGGCCCCATTAGGGAATGAGAGTGAGTAATGGGCTCATTGTTGTATCTGTATACATTGGTCTACTATTTAGGGCCATTCTGTATATTTGATCTATACTTGCAAGTTTATCTGCAGCTTTATTGTATTCAATTCCTGAGTGTGCCTTGACCTTATTTAACTTTAGTTTGATGCTTTTTTTCTTAAGTATGTCTTGGATTTGCTGTAAAGATTAAATTTCTTTTGTTTTTTCAGTGCTTTATTTGGTGTTGACTACACAATATTATTGATATTATTTATGGCAGCTTTGTTATCTCTGAATATGTTGACATGACGGAAGGTTGATAGGATGCTAAGAGTGATAAGTATTGTCATGATCTCTGCTCTAGTAGATGATGAGTGTTGCATTGTTTGTTCCTGAAAGGTGAATGCTTTTTTTTTTGCTTGTAATAATTTTTATGCCTATACCCATGAGCCATTCACGGTTAAGTTCTTTAAAAGAGCCATCTGTGTATATGTCAAAGATTATATTGTCTTGTATTTTGAAGGCTATATTAGATAGTTCCTCAAGTATGAAATCCTCTGTGATAAAGAGTTTTTTAAAAAAAATTGTCTAGGTTTTGTGTTGCTGGGATGATGAGCTCTGCCTGATTATAGGTGGGAGCAGTACTAGAGATATATAGTGCATTAAGTATAGTATGGATGGAGTCAAGGGATACTATGTATCTGAATATACTATTTTCTGTATTGACTGTATCACTAATAACCTTGCTATAATGAATAGGAATATTAATTGAACTTTGATAGCTTGCTGAGAAGATACATAAGTGATTGTTTTGACTGTGGTTATTGATATTGCAACCTATGCATTCAATCAAAGGTGATTGGTTGTTGATTCTATTGTAATACTTGTATTCTATGAAGTAGTCATTTAATCTTTTCTGTTTTCTTTACAGAACTATTTGATTGTTGAATTCTGTACTGATCCAATGGGGACGAGTTGTATTTTGATTTAAATATTGGCTGCATTTTAGAAAAAGATTGATTAAGGGTTGTTGTGACTGATTGTTCATAATCCATTCTTGTACTCTGTTTCTAAGTGTATAGTACCAAGCTAGGGTATGCCATTGTATTGTATAGCAGTTGAGTCTGATTATATGGCACCAGTGCAATGTTTTTTTTCTACTACTATTTAGCATTTGGCCAATAAAGAGAATGTTATACTTCTTTAGGTTTTTCCTATATTGCGTATAGAAACTTTTGCTTGTAATTTCCTCAATGGGAGTATCTGTTTCAGTGATTATAATATATTTTCCATTTAATATATTTTTAAAGGAGAATTCATGTGTTCTTAGTAGCCATATAATATAATGTGTGAAGTTTCTTCCTTGTGATAAGAGGGATGTATATAACTGACTTATTATCATTTTTATGAATCAGAACATATTTTGTAGTAATTGGAGTCATTTCCTAGCAATTTCTCCAGTTATATTATTTTGATTGATTTGTGAAGTCCAGTTTATAGCATGAAACAGAAGTTGTCTATTCCATAAGTGCATTAGATTGTACTCAAATTTGTTATATAACATGTTATTGGGAATTATGTTTGCGAGACTTGATTTGTATTTAAAAGTGTTTATTAATTTGCTTATTATTTTGTTACGGGTATCCCTGGTGAGGACTATGTCATTACAAAGATATTCTAGACTAGATATTAGGATGTGTTTGATTATATATTATATCTGTTTGTTAGTGATTCTTTTCATTTCTAAAAGTGTTCATATTTTTTTCTTTTTTGCTTAATCAGGAGAGTTTTGATAATCTTTCCTTCCAGAACTATTATAGCATACACCAAGAATCTTAACTGGAGTACCTCTTTTGCATCCTGTGATTCTTTGATCATTTATCCATACTCCTTATGTGTAGTCATTTTTTTTACTATTGATTATTAGGAGCTGATATTTCTGTAGATTTATTTCACTATTATTGATGTGGAAAAATTGTTCAGCAATATTTATTATTCTTTGAAGTACTGCTTTGATGGTTGCAATCCATATTGTGTCATCCATATATGTACTAGTTGCAATATTTATAGATCTTGAGAACCATTTTTGATCTAAATTCTTACAGGTCTTGACTGCTAATGAGTATCCTATATATTTATTACTGATTCTTGTAAGAAAGGGGTTATAAAAAATATGTCATAGTAGTGGAGATATAGTGTCACCTTGATCTATACCATTCCCAACTGAGTATAAATTAGTAGGGCCATAGCATGTTAGAACTATATTTTGTAGGTCTTTGAAGATATTGTTGAAGATTTGTATTATTTTTTCTGGAATTTTAAATACTGGAATGCCTTTTTTAGCATTATAATATTTACTGAGTCATAAGCATTGGACATGTCCTGGCTGAGGATCCAGGCTTCTTGATTTGTTTCTTTATATATTTTATGATACTACTCAAGATGTGAATAGGGTCTTGTGTAATGTTTCCTGGTAATGCTACCCAGTTTAGATCTGATAGTATTGGGTAATCTTTAAAGACATTGACAAGGTAGTCAATTATGATCTTGATGAAAATTTTCCTTCCAGTATCCAAAAAAGTGATTGGTCTTATTATATCGAGATTGTTTTCCCAATCTTTGGATTTGGATATTGGATATATGGTTCCTTTGCTCCATTCTTTGGGAGTTGTGCCTTGTTAT